CCTATTACTGTAAAAAATAAGAATGTTTTAATTGTAAAATAAGTATATTCATACATATTTTGCAAATAATTAGTGAACCATCTTTTTTGATTCAAGTATGTTTTGTAAAAATTAAGTAGAAAATAAGTATCTAAACTTTTTGTAGGGTCAGCAGGTACATTCATTTTATTTTTATATATTTCTGCTGAACCTCGCAGACAATATTTTCTTCAGGGATATTCAAAAATTCATCAACTTGCATTTTTATCAAATAAGTTCATTTAGTCATGAAATTCAATTGGATTATTACATATTGGAAATTATCCAATCAAACCAAAATTTTGCTGATGATTTCTAAATTTATCCTAGCTACATGATATTAGTCACATGGGGCGTATTTATGGAGAGAGTCTTCATGAGTGGGACTGAAAAAATACTGTGCAGTGCAAAGTATGGAGAGTGTGCATTTATCCCTAAGTCCTGAGCTTGGGACCAAGACATAGCATGTGTTTGTGGAGGGTGTACATTTATGGAGGGTTCATTTATGGAGGTCTGACTGTAATTAAACTTAGTAATGTGCTGCAAAAAGTTCAAAAATAATTTTCTTGTAATTATTTACTGAATTTTTCTTATAAATAAAAGAACTGAATGTACTTTTGTTTATTAAAAAATTATTACAGCAAAAATTTATTTTAATAAAAAAATAAAAATGTCATCAATTGATCAACCAAACAAAAAAAGGAAAATTTTACTTAGGATGAAAAAAAAACAACTCTGTGAATTTAATGAAAGAAATCTATCATTCACATATAATGAACTTGGTCAAAAATTTGGAATCACAGAACATACTGTTTGCAAAAGTTTAAAAGATAAAGATAAATAGTTATTTATCAACCCTAATGATACCAACAGATAAAAAAGATAAAGCTGCAAAGTATCCTGATCTTGAAAGTGCATTGATGATATGATTCAATCAAGCAATTTCAGATAAAAGAGTAATTACAGGAGATATAATTCTCATTAAAGCTAAAAGATTTGCTGAATTACTAGATATCAATGATTTTAAAGGTTCAGATGGTTGGGTCTTGAATTTTAAGAAAAGAAATAATATAAAGCACTATACTATGCATGGTGAAGCATGCTCTGCACCTTCTGAAGAAAGATGAAGATTACAAGAAATAATCAAGAATTTCCTTTAGAATATTTTTATAATTGTGGCAACTGGTAAAATAATTCAGTATAATTATTATTATATAATTTATAATAGACTAAGTATTTATTTTATTAGGCTTGCTCTGGGATTTAGAACCTTCAAAGACATTATCAACTGGCTATCTTTCTGGCATTAAAAAATCAAAAAAAAAATAACCCCTTTACTGGAACCAAAAAACTTCCTCTTTTATTTATTCATAAGTATCAAACACCAAGGACATGCTTGGAGTTGACAAGTCAAAACTTCCAGTTGATTACTACTGGAACACAAAAGCCTGGATGCAGTTTCTATTTGGAATCAATATTTGATAAAGTTGAACCAGAAAATGGCCAAGTAAAATAAAAAATTTTTTATTATTGTTTGATAATGCATCAGTACACACACATTCTTGATCAAACAACCATTTTAACAAAATGTCATGCTCATCACCTTCCTCCTAGCACAACCGCCCATCTACAACCTGCTGATGCAGGAATTACAAATTCCTTTAAAGTAAAGTATTATAAATGATAAATATTTTATTTGCTTAAATATTTATTCTAACTATCATTTTTTCCAGGCTCAATATAGAAAATTCCTTGTGAGTAACAGAATTGATGCTTATGATTTACATTAAAGCTTTGATATGCCTCTTGAACAACTTAAAATCTCTGATGCAATTGAAATTTGTGCTAAAGCTTGGAGGGAAGTAACTTCTGAAACTATTAGAAACTGTTGGTTAAAGACAGGAATTTTACCTACTTTAGATGATGTCATGGAAATAGAAACAAGTGGTATAAGTAATCAACTCATTCAAGAAGAATATCATGAACTTCAGGGCCTAATTAATGGACTAAGAAATATTGAAGCTTCTGATAGATTGAATACAGAGGATTTTATTAGAATTGATAATGAAATCCAAGAGTTTGGAAATGTTGAAATTACTGATGAAGAAATTATTAGTTATATAAGACCAACAGCTGAGTCTGAGCCAGAAGATGAATTATCAATTGTTAAACAAAAATTACTATAAAAGAGACATTACAATTTTTAGACATTGTCCTTTCTTATATCCAAGATCCATCTGAAAATTTTACATTTGAATTTAAACACATTAATTCAATAAAAGCAATTAAAAATCACATATCCAAACATACTGCTTTAAAAAAAAACAAAGCACACTGGATAGTTGGATTACTAAATAATTATTTTTATTATAATTTCATGAAATTATCTATTTATTTTTCTAATATTTTTGATATTTTTTAATAAAGTCAGATCATATCACGGGATTTTTGTAAACTATATAGTGAAGTTTTTTGTCAAAACCAACTCCTTTAGTAAATTTATTTGGGGTGGAAAATTTGCTCCCCGTATCACATCAAAATTTTATTATTATAATAATGATAATTAGTTGGGGGGGGGGGGTTTTTTTTTGAAAGATGAATTTTCTTTCTGGTAATCCCAAAGATGCTATTTCTTTAAAAAAACTGAGAGAAGTTCTTATTAGACTTGAAGATACAATAATTTTTTGTAATTTACTAGTTTTTTTATTTTTGTAAAAAGGTTAACATTTTATTTAAAAACAAATAATTAATTGATTATAAATTGTAGCATTAATCGAAAGAGCACAATATGCAGTTAATGATAATATTTATAAACCTGGAATTTATAGATATGAGGGAAAGGGTGATTTCAATGGAAGTTTTTTAGATTATTTCTTAAGAGAATCTGAAATTTTGCATGGTATATTATATTATTAAAATTATTCAACTTTTAATTACATTTATTTATTTTATTTACTGTTAATATATTTGTTTATTAAAAAAAAAAAAAACAAGCAAAAGTAAGAAGATATCAAAGGTAATTCAACTTTTAAAATAATAATCATTTTATATGTATATATTAATATCAGAACTAATTTATTGTTAATATAATAAAAGTCCAGATGAATATCCATTCACAAATCCTCTTCCAAATCCAATCATTCCAGCTCTCGAATACCCAACAATACTTAAATCTAATAATATAAATGTTAATTCAAAAATAATGAAATTTTATACTGAAAATATCATTCCAGAATTATGTCCACTAGGAGATGATCAAAATTATGGTTCATCAGCAACTAGAGATGTGTTATGTTTACAAGCTTTATCTCAAAGAATTCATTATGGTTTTTATTTTTTATATTTAATATTTTCTTGAATAGTTTAATTGGTGTTTTATTTAATTTGTATTTTTATATTTATTGAAAGGTAAATTTGTAGCTGAAGCAAAATTTCTTGATCCAAATCTTCAACCAAAATATATTGAATACATTAAAGCCAGTAATACCGAAGCACTTGAAGAATTGTTAACAAATAAACAAGTTGAAGAATCATTGCTTAAACGTCTTAGACATAAGGCCTTAACTTATGGACAAGATTTTACAGAATCTGATATTATTAATTTGGGTAATAATCAAATTTCAAATGATGATAATCATGAAATAAAATTCAATGCAGACATTGTAGTTGAATTATATGAAAAATGGGTTATTCCTTTAACAAAAGAAGTTGAAATACAATATTTACTTAACAGACTTGATAATTGATGTTGATTAATTTTTGATAATAATAAAATAATTTTTTTTGGAAGAAAATTAGTAAATAAAAATAACGATAAAATCTATGAAATCATATAAAAAAGTTTTCCTAAATTTAAAAAACAAATTATACATTAACAAGTGAAACATCGTATAATAAATGATCAGTTATTTTGTCAATCTTCCTGACCGGAAGAGATCCTCATTGGGTCTTTTTGATATTGAGTCTTTTGAATGTCTAGCATAAATTGACTGGTTTTTGTAGGCGTGTAAGTTTTGGGGAGGGTGGTTAAAGTGGAATGAGAAATCAAGAGCAGCCTGGATGCAGCAGCAATAGTAGTGATGGGGGCGGTTCCATATTTCATCACACGGTTTATATTTAAGGTTGCCAGGTGAAACCTTACTTTGATTCATTTGCTAATTCGTGACTGACTTCATTTTATAAATCAAATAAATAAATACAAATATATATTTTTCTTTCATTTGGATAAAGTTAACCCTCATTTCAACGAATTATAATTTAATCACACATAAAGAAAGGCATATAAAATTCGTTAAAACGCAGTAATTTTGGTATAAATGTAATTTTCTTAGATTTGTTGAAACTATAGTTGGAAATATTTTGTACAAAATTAAATGACGAAAAAACTCGAGTAAAAAGCTTTAAACTTTTTTTTTGTCTCAAAAAAAAAAAAGGTTTAGCATATTCCATTAATATATTTAATATATAAAAACAATTTCATGTTTATTATCGCTTAATATTAAACTAGCCTCGATTTCGGACTAGGTTTCGCGCAGCCAGGGTGTGTGTATATGTATATTTAACAAAAAATTTTAGTAAGTTATTTGATGATTTAATAACATTCCTTTTAAATAATGAACGATTCTAATTATATCATTCAAAAACCTTATGTCTGATTATAAACCAATTGTTCAATAAACTATATGTTTTTTTAAATATAATAATAATAATAGAATTAATAACACTAAAGCAAAAGTATGATAATTATGATAATTTACTAAATTACAATGCTTCAAAGACTTCAATAGGTAGTAGATCAATTTAGTTGTATCTAACTCTCTTTTGCATTTGGCCGATAACGTGAATGTGGCTTCGTTTCGCCCACTGTTGCAATTAAACTGAGACGTTTTGTCATTTTAAATTTCTACAATTGAATACGATCCTTTCCTGAATAAAAAGTGATTCTAAAAGTGGTTTGAGAACAGCTTGAAATGATCTTAGATGTGATCGTGATGGCTCCTTTATTTTTATGTACGTTTTCTTCTTCTTCTTCTACTTCATCACCATAAGGCCGCAAAAACTATTTTTCAATTCGGGTCACTTTTTTTGAAAGATTTTTTATGACATCTTATTTCACGTGATCAAATAAAGCACAATTCTTTTTTATTTACATATACGCTTTGCTTTTTTTTGACTAAGGGTGGTTTACTACGCCTTTTCTTGTTGTTTTTTTTTCACTACACTTATCACAATAGTAATAAAATTCACCATCTGCTGATAGATTTAACATATCCTCTTGTTCATATTGTTCACCACAAACAAAACACATGTCATCCTTAAACAATCCACATGAATAATATGAAATTTCCATGTTACTTTGACAATTTAATTTGTCATCGCTTTTTACTTTTAAAAATCCTGAGAACTCATTTCTGAGATTAAGCCTTTGAAAGAATCCCCATAAGTATACTGAACACCATCTAAAATCTACTTAATTTAGTATATTCTTCACAATTAAGTTTTGATTTTGAATACATAACTCTCCGTTTATCACCAACATTTTATACATATTGTTGTGCGCTAGGACTAGACCCATTCTAAAAAAATATTCAATAGTTACATTCTAATCCACAGGAATACCTTCATCAAATAAAATAGAATTTTATGTTTTATAATTAAGTGAATAATTGGCATTCTTGATTGTGCGAAAGTACTACTAGCGGTTAGAGTTCATCAAAATTTTACAATAAAAGGGTCGGTCATTTTCAAATTCTGACGTTACGCGAGATCAAGCCCGTAAGAGTCTCATACAGGTAGTTTATTATTATTCTGGATGATCTCAAAAATTTGGTTCATAAGCCTCTTGACGTTCCAATTTTGTCACCTCGTAAAATCTATTATCACTATTATTAGGTGACTGACTATTTTGAAAATTTGATGGAAATGCTATATCAATAAAATCAGTAAATTTATGACAGCAAAGAAGAATTTTTAATATTTTATTTTTGTTGATGTTTACACGAAAATTACTAAAATATTTACGATCAAATTTGCAAATAAATAAATTAAAGTTAAAAATAGTATTATTTTCTAAAGGAACTAAACTATACAAATTAAGATCTAAAGCTTTTGGGAATTCAACATTATATACCGTAATTTTAATGATGCCTAAAAGTAAAACAGCATATTATGCAGTTTATACTGGTCGAGAACCTGGGATTTATACAACCTGGTAAAAAATTTAAAGACTTAATTTTTACATCAATTTGAATTATATCATATCAATCAAGATTACTTATATTATCAGCTAAATGGTTTAGGGACGAGTGTAAGAAACAAACTGATAAATTTCCAAATGCCAAATATAAAAAATTTTTTACACATCAGGATGCTTGCACATTTTTACAAGGAATAGATTTTAAAATTGGGAAAGGTATTTAATCATCTCATCTTAATTGTAATTGACACCACAGATAAATTATTTCAAGTATTAAGAATCTAAAGAATTTTATCTTTAGATCTTGCAATTAAAATTTCAAATGCAAATATGCCATCTGAAAATTCATTAATAGAATTCTTACCTAATTTAGATTTTGTATGTTTAAATTTTATTATTATCAATGATATGATTATAATTAAAATTATTAGTATACTTAATCATTATCAAAATTCATGGCCTTTGATAAATAATGTATGTTTTAGCCAAAACCCCACAATCTTGTAGTGTGGACAGATGGTAGTTCAAGAAATAATGGTAAACACAATGCAAGGGCTGGTATTGGTGTATACTGGGGAGATAATGATCCAAGGTAATTTATATATACGTATTAATAACATTAATATTCATTTAAGATGATTGATTGATTAATATTTATTTACCTTTAAAACTAGAAATTTAAGTGAGAGGTTACCAGGTTATAAGCAAACTAATAATAGAGCTGAGATAACGGTTAGTGTATTTATCATAATTACTTTTATTTTATTATTTGGTTAAAACATTATTTATTGATCAATTTATTTTCTTCTGATGTTTGCAGGCTATAATACGTGCATTGCAAACATGTACTGATCTTGATAGTCCATTAGAAATCAGGACAGACAGTATATATATTGTTAAAGGTAATTAAAATTTTATAAACATTTGGATCAAGATAATATTAATTTATATTATAAATTATAGCATATTATGAATGGATTCCGAATTGGGAAAAAAATGGCTGGAAAAGTCGAAATAAAGATGTGGAAAACAGGGATCTTTTTATAAAATTAACAAATTTAATTAGGGCAAGACCAGGCCATGTTATAATTGTAAACATATTTATGATTTCCATATTATAAATTTGTATATATATATATATATTTATTTATTTATTTATAATTTATTTTAACAAAAATTAGACACATGTTCGTGGTCATCAAGGTTTAGCTGGTAATGAAGGTGCTGATAAATTGGCAAATTTAGGCGCTCTATTGCCAGATGTTGAAGAAGATGATAGTTAAGATAGTGATATGAATAAACAAGATATGGAAAATAATAAATCATCTTTAGGTGGGTAGGTTTTTTAAAAATTGGCTTTTCTTTCATTAACTGTGTTATGAATTTTTCTTTTATTGTAAGGAAAATAAATCACACATCATTTAACAGGTAAACGAGAGCACATTCCTTTTTTTTTTTTTTTATAAAAAATATTAAATAAATAAAGTTATAATTAAATATTTATTTGGTTTAACAATATAAGAGAATGTAAATTTGTAGATCAATTATGGATCAAAGACATAAGAAATACACCAATAATATATTTTATTTAAATATTACAATACAATATAATAAAAATAATTTTAAAATATAACAGTTTTTTGTAATGCTTTCAAATATTCTTATGAATTTTAATTTGGTTATTGATTTCTAGAAGAAATTTTTTTTTAAAAAAATTTAAATTAGTAATTACTTACAGTGACAACTATAACAATAAAAATAATCAATATAAAATTTAATCCAAGAGTACCTTCAATGATTTTTAAATAAGCTTTACTGGCTGATGAATCAGGATATTCATATAAAAATGATAGTCCACTATCACAAGATTTTCCTGATTTTTAAAAAAAAATAAATATAAGAAAATTTTTATTAATATTTTTATTAATAAAATAAAAGAAACATGGTAATGATCAATAATACCAATTCTCGGATCTAATGGAATAGAACCTAAAAAAGGAATTTCATTATCTTCTGCCATTTTTTTTGCACCTCCAGTTGTTGCTGCAAAAATCACTGATTCTTCCTAATAATGAAAGCAATAGTTTGATAATGTATTACTGCATGATCTCTTGTGATCAAATTTATATAAAAATATTGATACCAACTTTACAATTTGGACATATAAAACCACTCATATTTTCTACTACTCCTAATATTGGAATTTTAACTTTTTTACAAAAATCAATTTCTTTCCTTACATCCTGTAAAGCAACTTCTTGAGGTGTAGTTATTATAATTGCACCATCAATTCCACTGTCTTTAAGATATTGAACAATTGACAAGTGTTCATCAGATGTACCAGGAGGTGTATCTATCAATAAAAAATCCAATTCTCCCCAATCAACATCTTTCAAAAATTGTTTTATCAAACCTTTTTATTTGAAAATTATATAAAAAATTTAGTATTTTTTTTTTTGAATATAAAAATACAAATTGTATAATACATATTCACCGTTTTTTTTAGGCCCACGCCAAATGATTGCTTCATCAGGATTTGGTAACATAAATCCAATTGACATCACACCCAAATTTTCCTGTACATAAACTGGCGACCATCCTGACAAACTTTGATGGATCTGTTCACCCTCTAACCCCATTATTTTAGGAATTGAAGGACCACAAACATCAATATCCATTATTCCAACCTTTGAATAGTTAAAAATTAAAAAATAGTAATAAAAATAGCCTTGAATAATAGTATAGGATAATATAAATAATTACCTGGGTATTTTCATTACTTGAAAAAGCAAAACCAAGTTGTGAAGTAAAAGTACTTTTACCTACTCCTCCTTTGCCTGATAATATTACTAATTTGTGTTTAACATTGCTCATTTGTTGTTTAATCAATGGTAAATCTTAAAATTTAATTTAATTGCAATTAGAAAAAATTTTATTTATTAAATTAAAGATCATTTTAAATAAACCTGGATCAGGTCCTTTTGGTGTAGTAGCACATATATTTCGGTTTGGACATCCTTGACATGCAGAAGCTTTTCCTGCTTCTTGTGTAGTTGGACCCTATTTAACGATAACAATTTGAATAAAGTTATATAAATATTAAATAAATGAAAACGACTTTATACCGGACAATGTTCTGGTGCATTTGTTGGTTTATTATTTATAGTCATTTTTTTTGGTAAAAAATTAAATCAAAATAATTTTTTAAATATTTAGCTTGAAAATCACATGATATACATGATTTACGCGTGATTTAAAGTTTTTTATTTTTCTAGTAGCATTCTTTAGCATAAACAACAATGGTAAATAAAGAGAAATACGCGCTATTTTAATTATTATTATTAAATTTTTTTTGAAATTGATAATAAATAAATATAAAATGAATAATCGAAATAGTCTAAAAAAGGAATGTCAGCGGCAGAAAAACGTAAAAGACTTGAAGAATTATTCCATGAAACGGTATTGAATTTTGAATTTTAATGTTTCTTCAAAAGATATAATGTTTTTATATAACATACTTTATTGATGTTTTCTCCTAATTACGTATATATTTCTAGAAAGATTTTTATCAATTGAAAGAATTAGAAAAAATTGCACCTAAAATAAAAGGAATCGGTAATTAATTAAAATCTTTCAAAATTTAGATATTACATTTATTTATATAATAAATCCAAATTATTAATATTGTAAATAAAAAGTATCACAGTCTGTTAAAGACGTTTTACAAAGTTTAATAGATGATAATTTAGTTGCTACTGATAAGATTGGTACATCAAATTACTTTTGGTCATTTCCGAGTAGTTCACTTCAATCAGTAAGTTTTTATCTATATTATCGATTGTATTTTGTTTTCATTTCTGATTAATGTGTATGACTATTTTGATAAGCGAAAAGTTAAGATAAACACACTCAAAGAGGAATTTACAAAATTAAAAGAAAAAAATACTGAACTACAAAATGTCATCAAACAAGTATCTGGAGATCGTGAGGAATCGGTTTGTTATTTATGCATTATACGTATGATATACATATATAATATTATATTAATGGTCGATTCATCATATTCAAAAAGGATGATCGTACTACAAAAATGAAATTGTTAGAAGAAGTTGAATCACAAAGAAAACAGTATTTAAAAGAATTGGAACGATATCGTGAATGTGATCCTGTGCTAATGGAAGCTAAAAGTATGCAATTTATAATTTTATTATCAATACATTTTACGTACCTAAACAAGCTGTCGCATTGTAAAGACTAAATTCTTTATTTTTTTTAAAGAAAAACATGCCAAACTTGCATTTGAAGCAGCCAACAGATGGACTGGTAAATATTATGAATTTAAATATAAAATTTCTTAATAATGTCAAAAAATCAAAAAAAAAATTTAATAATATTATATTGTACGCAACATATATATATATATATATATATTTAGAAAATATTTTTATACTTCAATCATATTGTGTCAACAAATTCAACATTGAACGTTCAGAATTTGATCGTCAATTTAGTATTCCTGAAGATTTCGACACTTTATAATCAATAGTTTATTATTATTACTTGAATAAAAAAGTAACCCTAAAAAATCACATTAAAAATATGTTTATTTATAATCATATGAATAAATAATATGAATAAATAAATATAAATATATATACCCCCCTATTATTTACACCATTAAAATCAAATAAAAAAATTCCAATATGCAAAATAAAATATTAATCAATAATAATAAAGCTAATTATAATCATAATCATAACTATTTATTGAATTATTTTTTAAAAAATTTATTTAATGTTCCTCGAAATCATCACTAATTAATACATTAGATTCATCTCCAGGTAAATTTGTATAACTTCTCCTGGAGTGTTTAGGTTTAAATATCGAACATTGAACAAATAGTCTCAAAAACATATCCTATTTTTAAAAGGTAAATCATTATTATTTAAAATATAAATACATAAAAAACAATAAATATCAATAAATAAACACCTTAATAAAATCCCAAGCATTGCTCCAAAATTGCCAATTAGGAATTTGATAAACACCAGAAGCGTGGTTAACCATTCTATTATAGACAATACCGCCAATCAAATACACAATCAATGCAATTATGAAACTATTTATAAAAATTTTAAAAATTAGTCATAATTATAATAATTACTAAAGGATTTGATTTGATTATGAAACATACATTGTGAAAAAGACACCTAAACCACTCATTGTAGCGTTTATAACATCTGTAGGACACGCGACAGGAGTTCTCCATTCGAAAAAATATGTACAATCATCCGTATCAACGAAAGTTGGTGATCCCTTTTAGAATTTAATAGACATTTAATATATTTGTATTCGTTGTATATTTACATACATATTTGTATTTATACTCATATTTGAATACTTACAATTCCATTGACAGATTGATCACAAGTAAAACTAATTAAAGACGAACGTTTGGCATTATCTCCTGGACAGTAATTACCATATTTATATTTTAATATAACTTTATCACCTATTTAAATTTATAAAGCTTATTGTTAATTATTGTATTTAGAAAAATTTGAAAATAAGGATAGATTAAACAATTGTATTTCACCTCGAACAATTGGTTCTGTGCTAAATTCTCTTTTAACATTCATAAATTAATGGATAATTAAATAATTAAGAAGTAAATTCCTTCATTATTATTAATTGTTATAAATATTAAATAAATATTAATAAACTAACCCTAAAGAACCTCCTCTTTCATTTTCTTTTTTACCCCAAATACCAACTTTCGTACCAACGTCGTATAGAAGCTCATGACAAATATTTATTCTGAAAGTATAACCTGTATCATATCCCTCAACTATCCAATCATCACTAAAATAAAATTTTATAAAGTTGAACAAATTCTTGTTAAACATAAAAATGATAATGTAAATATTATGGATATTAACTTACCCACTAGATTTTGTCAAAGGGTTCAAGTTATATATTTTATTTGTAGTAATGTTTAGAAAAGTGCAAGGTGTTCTTTCTGGTGGATCAGCAGCTTTTACGAAATTACAAATAAACAAATTAAAATAAAATAACCATAATAATAAAGAAATAGAAGTATTATATGAAGATTTGAAAATTTTGGTCGCAAATTTTAACATTATGGAAAACTTTTTTTAATTTTATTATAATAATAATAATGAGTAATGAGGAAAAAATAGTGATCTGCAACTTGGCTAATGGATTTAACTATTTTAAGTAGATTTTCTTTTCAATCTTTTCTAACAAAAATAATTGTTTTGGG